TGAATTGTTGTCCAGGTCATTTTTTCAACCATCAACTAGTGGTGAAAGCTCAGAATTTGTGATGCATGACCTCATCAATGATCTCGCTCAGTTTGTTGCAGGAACCGTTTGTTTTAGGCTGGAGGATAAGTCGAAAGTTAACGAGCAGTACAAAAATATCAGTAAGGCTCGCCATTCATCTTACAAGCAGGAAAAATATGACGGCATCAAAAAGTTTGAGGCCTTTTATGATGCCAAGCATTTACGTACCCTTGTACAATTTGGAGCATATTATGGAGAAGCTTATTTGACCAGCAATGTTCCCCATGATTTGTTGCCAAAGCTTAGACGTTTACGCGTGCTTAGTTTTGGTGGATGCATAATAGGTGAACTGCCAAGTTCGATCGGACATTTAAAGCATTTGAGGTTTCTTGATCTTTCTCATGCCCTGCTTTGCTCATTACCCGAATCACTATGTACTCTATACAATCTACAAACACTCAAATTAAGATATTGTATACACATGAAGAAGTTGCCTACAGCCACAGGAAACCTAATTAACTTGCGTCATCTCGACATTACTGGTGCAAATTCCTTACATGAAATGCCACCAAAAATAGGTCAGTTAACAAGTCTCCAAACATTATCAAACTTCATTGTTAGTAAAGGAAATGGGTTTATGATAAGAGAGTTGGGGAACTTAATGCATCTTAGAGGGGCACTTTGCATATCTGGGTTAGATAATGTGGTGGATGTTGTGGATGCAAAGACTGCCAAGTTATATGAGAAACAGGGCTTAGATGAGCTATTGATGAAATGGAGTGACATCAATTCAGATGATTCACGAAATGAAAAGGTTGAATTAGAAGTGCTTGACATGCTACAACCGGACAAGAAGGTTAAAGTACTTTCCATCAATGGTTACTATGGTCCAATATTCCCAACTTGGGTTGGAGATCCTCGGTTTTCTAATATGGTGCACTTAGTGTTGCAAAATTGTGAAAAATGCACATGCTTACCACCTCTGGGGCAATTACCCTCACTTGCAAAACTTTACATTCGAGGAATGAAAAGAGTAGAGAATGTTGGCCTTGATTTCTTTGGGGGGGGTTGCTCGAACCCTTTTCCAGCTCTAGAGACTTTACACTTTTGGGATATGCCGGATTGGGAGGATTGGTCTCCTTTTGAAGTTGATGAGGAAGTTCAAGCATTTGCTCGCCTCTCAGAGCTCTCCATTCAAAGATGCCCCAAGCTTTTGGGTAAATTGCCCAACAGTCTTCCTTGCTTAAGAAAGCTTGAGATTCAGAAGTGCCCACAGTTGGTGGTTGAATGGCTTCCGAGCCCTACAATGATCCACCAAAAGAGGAATACCCTTCACTTCAGTTCAGTCACCTCCTTATCTCTTAGTGATGTTTCAATTTTGGACTCTATTCCTAATCAAGAGGTAGGCGATGAAGTATTAGCAACTGCAGCGTGTAAACATTTGAGCTCAGTGACTGATATGAGAATAGAAAATATTCAGAAACTCACATGCCTGCCTAAATGGTTCTTTCATGGGTTTACGGGACTCAAAAAATTGAGGATTCGTAATTGCAAAGAACTCAAAACATTGTGGCAGAATGAGGTCAGACTACAGCACAAACTCCCTGCCCCTGCCTTGCGACATTTGGAGATTGAAAACTGCCCCCAACTTATTTCCTTGTTCGAAGTAGAAGAAGAAGAAAAAGATAGTCCACAGTTGCAGCGACAGCAGCAGGAGCAAGAGGGGTCGCCTTGCTTAATGGGGCTTATGTATCTGGGAATTGATAATTGTGAAAAGCTGGAGAAGCTGCCAGGGGGACTGCATGCCCTGAAATGTCTTCAGAAAATGAAGGTTCAAAATTGTCCATCGCTCACCTACTTATCGTCCAGAGGTGGGCTACCGGCCGCACTTGAAGAACTTGATATTGCTCATCTATCGCAGCTGGAGTCACTACTAGCAGAGGAGGGTATGAAAATTAGTTGTCCATCTCTTCAATCGATTCGAATTAATGCTTGTAAGAAGCTCAAATCCTTGCCCGATGCCATGCATAGCAGCAACAATAATGAATTCAAAAATCTCAACCTAGTGGACATAAGAGGTTGTGAAAACATGGAGTCCCTTCCGGAAGGTTGGTTCCGGTTGGCTACATCGAATCTGAGAGACTTGCTTATCTACGACTGCAAAAAGCTCGAGGCCCTACTGTACAACCTCAGTTCTCTTCAAGAGCTGAAAGTATGGAAATGCCCTGAAGGAATTGTCTCCAACTGGAGTTCTCTGACGAACCTCAGTTCACTTACCATCGACACGATCATGATCGGTAAGCCCCCATCAGAGTGGGGTTTGCACAGATTGCCCTCTCTTAGAAAACTCCTCCTTAATGGTTTTGAAGATTACCGTTGGGAGTCCATTTCAGAAGATGGAATGTTATTGCCCACCTCTCTGACCAACCTGTCCTTCCAGTATTTTCCAAACCTAGAGAAGCTATCTTTCAAGGACTTTCAAGACCTCACCTCTCTTGAAACACTTTACATCTATGATTGCTGTAAGCTCACTTCTTTGCCAAAGGAAGGACTGCCTCCCTCGCTTTTGAATCTCTATATTTGTAGTTGCCCCAAATTTGCATCGTTTCCGCAGCAAGGGCTGCCTCCCTCGCTTTTGTGGTTGGAGATCAAAGGATGTCCGATACTAAAACAACGGTGTCAAAATGGGAAAGGCCGATATTGGCGCTTCATTTCTCACATTCCTCGTGTCGACATAGATGATAAATTCATCTTTGACCCAAGCTGCTACAAAACAAGCCAGGTGCGTGCGTCAAATCATTAAAACAATAAGTTTAGGAAGTCTTTCCAATTTACTCAAAAATTTATCAACTCCCCAATTATGTTAAGGTAGGTTATTGTATATATATTTTTTTTCCTTTTAAGTAAAAACAGCCTCCATAGTGAGTTGCCATGTGGGCAGTTTGTAAATTTTGGGGTAAATTGGGGAGGCTCGCTAGTCTTATTGATTTGAAAATGACTTTGATTTGAAAATGACTTTTTTTAGTCGTATGAAAAAACATAAATTCCTTGTGTATGACTTACTTTTTTTTTGTGACTTCTTGATTTTTGAGAACACACTTTTTTAGTGACTTTTTGATCGACTTTTTGGTATTTGTTGACTTTTTAATTTTTTTTAGCGACTTTTCACTTTTTAAGCTAAATCACAACTTGCCAACTGAAGAATTATTTTTTTGACTTTTTAGTTGCATTTTTTGTTTTACTAGTTTTTTTAGCTTTTTTAATCAGAAAGCCAAACTTCCCAATCAACACTTCACTTAATCCTGGATGTATTAAGTGATTAATTAATTAAGAAAAATTCTATAATACACACCTATTTTTGGGTTGTATACCATATGCCCAATTATAACTTTTGTAATCTTTGGTTTTGATTCATTGTGTTGTTAGTTATGACATGACTATGACTTTTTAATGTCTTAGTTATGATTTGGTTATGACTTTTATTTTGATTATGATCGAAGAAATCTTTAGTTATGCCTCAAGTTATTACTTGGTTATGACTTATTGTAATATTGGTTTTGACCTATGTGATTATTATTTTAGTTATAACAAAAGATCTGTGGTTGTCTTTAATAATGTTTGATTATGACTCATTGTATCTTTTTAGTTATGATTGAAAGTGATTTAATTATGACATTTGTGATATCAATACCACAAAGTGTCATAACTAGCATACAAAAAACACCTCAAAAAGGGGTGTGTATTGTAGCATGACCGAAGAAAATATGTGGTAGTTATTATATCTATACTATATATAAAGCAAATGCTAGATTTGGAGTTGTGAAACCTTACTTTTTTTTTTTATGCCAAATCTTAACAATTTTTTTATTCTTAAATTACCCTTCCTTTGTTTCTATCCCTTCTTTTTTAATTGTATTTAATTATACTCGATTGTAATTGCAGATTTGAGGCACATATATAGAGAGATTGTGAGAGTGGAGAGTGGAGGTGAATGGCATCGGTTTCTCCCTCATTTTTGGAGATTGCCACCAATGGTGTAGGGGAGATCTAGAGATGTAGTGGAGATCCAGACAGATAGAAGTCGAGATTGAGAGGGAACACAGTTGATCAAACATACTCATTGTCGACTATGGTGAAGAAGATCACAAGACAAAGGGTTTCATAAACTAGATATGTGATTTTAGACTTCGAATTTACATCAATGCAAAATTGCATGTTAAACATGCGACTTTATTATCAATGTTGTCATTGTAATTGTAATGGTTGAACCATATTGACTGATACATTCATCATACATCCATCCATCCATCTTTGCTATCAATGAAGTTTTTTTCTTAAGTCAAAAAGAAAGAAAGAAAAAAAAAAAAAAAAAACATTTTTCCATAATTTCTCTAATAATTTAATCATTGTGATAATTAACAAATATATTTTAAAAAAGCACTCATTGACGGCCTTGTTTGGAAAGTTGGGTTTAGGTTAAAATAATTGATAAAAACAAAATAAGTTCAAATAACTAATAAGATAAAATGTTACATTTTAACTAAAATAGTCTATTCTCAAGACTTAAGTGTCAAGGGAGTCCGAAGGTCGGTTACTTGGTGTTGGTAGCTATCATATCTTCATCTTTTCTCTCATTATTTCTATGTGTTTTGTAACTCGCTATCATTGGGATCCAATTCTTGCTTCTTGGTACCCAAAAATATGAAATTTCTTACAACTTAGGCACTATTTCCTTTACACGCCCACATTTCATCACATCCTTTTATGTTTTAGTAAAAAATATATACATTTTTTTATTTTTTGCACAAACAATTATATAATTGATTTAGAGCACTATATAAATAATGTTACATACTGCTCCAAAACTAGTGAATAATTATGAGTATAAATGTGACAAAAAAGAGGAGTAATAGGTGGCGAAAGACTTTAAAAGCAAAATTTGGAACAACCCTCCATAATTTCGAAGAAAGTCTTCCATTGCCGTCAAGAAATTGTCGGGAAAAGATATTCCAATTTGACCAGCACTAACCTTTTTGTATGGTAAAAATTACAAATCAGTGTAAAAAAATCAAAATTAATTATAAGGAGGTGAGAAGTGTAACACTTATTGTGATTTTTTAACACACGGAGTGTGCACCCCATATTTGTATAATTACTTTTGGTTGAATTGTAATTTCTTTTTTATTATTAGCCTGGAGTTTACATCTCAGGTTTTTAGTTTTTTTTTTGAATTATAATTTATTTTTTGTAATTTCTCTTTTACTATCCGCCTCGAGTTGTACGTATGTGGTTATTATTATTATTTTTTTTGACAAGAGAAAAAAAAATGATTTCTGTAATTGTTAGTAATCTTAGGGGATGTGAGTGTAATTTATTGAAAAATAAACTATATTTCGGTGGAAAACAAGCCAACATATTCACACGCCATTATTGACTTGGTGTAGGGAGGAATTGCAAAGCAGAGGTTTTGCAAAGGACCCCGCTCTATGCTTTTCTCAACACTTTTCTTTTCCACTACCGTGTTCTTTTACATTATTATTGTCTCCTCTATACATAGAGATTTCTCATGCATTATTGTAATTCTCTTTTCTTTTTATTATTTGGAAGTTTATCCACCATGAGATGTGATCATGTGATACACTCACTTTGATAATAATGACATTTATATGTGGTTTCAATGTTATTACTAATTGTATAGGGAAAAACTTACAACACCTAACCTTGCAATAGCGTCAGATCACCTAAACACAGAGTATTGGTAACATGAAAGACATTCACAAGAAGAGGTTCAGCTGGTGGTTAGTCAGGAGACTCTTCGGTAAGTCATATTTGGAATAATTATCAAAAAGCATGTGAGTGTAAGTTGTTGCGTACTTTGTTGGGTTAGTTTGTCTTGCTTATGACTTAATTTCTAACGATTTTGTTAGTTGAAAGATCCTTATCACTTTTACTATTCCGTTTTCCATGAGATCGTGTCTCACATTTATAGATTTCTTGAATTGAATAAGTCTACATTTAGTAGAATGTGCGTTAACTTGATTTGATTATTCAGACTGCTACTCTGAACCTGTAGCTAGCTCGGTGACTGAACTAACTCATGGTCCAATTTGTCTTCCCAAGATGTCCTAACTCGACTAGGTGGTCTCGCTCGGTTCTAGCTCGGCCTCGTGGCCTTACTTGGTTTTTTTCAATGCCACGTGGCTTGTAACTCAAATTGTACCATCCACACTTTAGTGTCACACTACATTAGATAGTAGTTTAAATGTAATAACATAAGACATAGCATTACTCAACAAAAAGTTTAAATGTAATAACATAAGACATAGCATTACTCAACAAAAAATTTAAGATTCGTTTGGATAAATATAAATTTGAAATGCACGTAGTTGATATTAATCATTCAACAAGAATAATTTAAATTTGTTTGATAATTAGTTATAAATTTAAATATTGAATTAGATGATTTTATCAAAATGAATTTAGAATAACTTTATAATAACAAAAAAAAACTTATTTGAAATAATTGAAAATACAAGAATTTTCTTAAAGCGCATCTATTTATTTTAATTTGACTTCAACAGTTAACTCTTCAATATTTATAATCTCAAACATCTTGTTTGGCTAGGATTTTTTGACTAAAAAAATACAAAAGACAAAATGGGTTAAATAAGCTAATGAGACAAAATGTCACATTCAAACCATAATCATTTCACTTTTACTCTCACAAAAGTAAAAAAAACTAAAAAAATCAAACAAAACTAACTTTTAGTACGAAGTTAAAATAGCCAAAAAGTCAACAAGCCAACTAGAAAAATCAATTGCCAACGACAACTTTCTAGTTGGGAAAAAAATTGGGATGTACTATTACATTTTTGTATACACATCACACCCAGAACCTATTCTGATGGTTCAGTTTGTTTATTTTTTTAAGGTCGATCACTCATCAAAAAAATAAATTGATCGAATAATTATAGTTGTATATATATATATATATTTTACATTTGTCTTAAAAAATATTGAACAATAAATATGATTTTATTAATAAATTTGTTAAACTTGTCCTTACATTGTTTCTATAAATCACTTAAGCACTCATTTAGCATAGCAAATATTAGGGCTAAAAGGCAATTTTACTTACAAAAAAATAAAATAGGAATAAAAGTCAATAAGACAAAATGTTACATTCAAATCATAAACATTTCATTTTTTCTTTTACAAAAGTCAAAAAAGTCAAAAGTCTATCTCAAATGAGACTTTTTGACCCAGGCTAATATAGCCAGAAAGCCAACCTACATCCCAAATGAACCCTAAATTTGGTTAATATAGTCCAAAAGTCAGATCCTTAACAAGTTATCATATCATAGTTGGGTCTTGGATGGTCTTTAATGGGTTAAATTTCCTTCCAAATCTACTCTCTTGCCTCTCATATCTCTGTTTTCTTCACATGCTATCCAGGCTGCATGTACGAGGAGTGTTAAACTTGTCTCGCATCATCTCTATAAGTCACAACAACCTTAGTTAATATACTCCTAAGGCCTCTCCATTCATAATAATTGATTTTGAGTTGGATGCTTTAACAAAACTATTAATTATTATTTTTTAAAATACTGTAAATTACACTCACCTTCCTTGAAGTTTGAAGATAATATAGTTAATTTCACACTTTTGATATAATTACATTAATCTCTCTTTTATTAAGGCTAAAGCAAGACACTAAACAAAGATAATTGTACATTTTAACATAAAATAGTTAACAATATCATATTTTTCATTCATGTCTAACAAATTAATAATGAAAAATGTCTTAAGTGTGTTATGTGAATTGAAAATTCAATAAAACCTTGTTTGGTTTTAGAAAATTGGGAACACTTTCCAAAAAATTGAGTTTTTTTTTTTTTTTTTTTTTCAAAAAATTGAGTTTTTTTTTTTTTTTTGGGTGTGTTTTCGTTTTTTTTTTTTTTGTTTTTAGTCAAAATTTTTAAAGGGACTTATGTATAGGTCCTAATAAGTGGATTTATTATCCAATAGATCCTATGATAATTAATGATATTTTTCATCAAACACTATTAAAAAAGGTCACTAATTGTTAATTTTCAACAATAGTTTAAATTTTTTGTCACAAAAAATATCACTAATTATAAGTATTAGTGACAGTTTAAAAAATATATCACTAATTTTCCACTTTCATCAAAAGTTTGAAAAATTTGTCACAGGAAAACACCACTAATTGTAAGTTTTAGAATTTATAAAAATCATGACAAAAAGTCACTGATTGTCAATTTTAACAACATATACAAAAAATCGTCACAAAAAATTATTTTTAACAACGATTTTAGTAGAACTTATTTTCAATAGGACTTTATGGGAATTAAGTCTAATTATTAGGACCTATTGATAGTTTACCCACATTTTTAATATTTTAATAAATTTTTTTTATGCACCTAACCTAGATACACTAAAAAAGTATAATATTTATAGAAAAAAATCTTTAAAAAATTCATCAAATACAAAAATATAAAAATTCAGTATATTTTCGTATTTTTGTATATTTATTAAATTAATTTTTTTTTTGTAAATATTTTTTTTAGGTTTAAAAAATCAACAAAAAAAAATATGAAAAATAAAAAAATCAATTTTCAAAAAATCAATCAAAACCAAACAAGGTGTAATTATTTTAAAAATGTGGGATTAATTATATTTTTCTCAAATCTCAACAAAAGTGTGTAATTTAGTACAAATATATATATATATATATATATATATACATATATATAATAAAATTATGGGCAAAATTCACTTTATCCCTTTGTGGTTTCACCTTGGAGTATTTTACCCCCTTATGTTTCAAATATTGACCGAGAACTCTCTTATAATTTTGAACTAAAGTACTACGACTAGTTTTTTCGTTAAATATAACAGAAGATGTGCCACACTCTCTCAAATTGAGAGCGGATAATGCAAAAGTGTTAAGCCAAAGTCAAAAGTTGAATCAAATGTCAATAATACCCTCATGTTCATCTTATTCTCCAAATTAAATCTTAATCCTAATCAAACCCTAACCTTAATTGTCATGTTTTATAAATAAAAAAAGAATTTAATTTAATCTAAAATATTATTAAAAGAGAAATTGTGTTAAAAATTAAAAGTAGATTAAGATAATTTTATGGTAATAAATTAGATTATTTAGGTACATTTATGGTTTAATTTATATATATATACTAGTTTAGAAAGGCCCGTGCCTTATTATTACAATATATTTAAGTTTTGTATTTTTATAATTTTTTTTTAAATTAAAATATTATTTTATGAAATTGAAT